CGGCGGTTAATGAGCAGTTTAAAGAAAGTCAGCTCCACGCTCCCTTGGACACGGCGTTGCTGCTTGAGCTGCAGCCAATGCTCCATGTGGGCGTGGAGGTCGACCTCTTTAGACTCCTCCCAAGGCTCAATATATAACACTCGGACTGTCTCAGCCTTGGAATCAGCGTTTGTTTGGGCTTCAAGAGCACGCTGCTGATCAGATCCAGGCTCCTCGGAGGGGCCTGCAACTGACTGCTCAGCTTCTCTTGTTGTAGAGAGTGGTGATGTCTCCTCTACGCCCCTTGCCTGTTTCCCTGAAGACGATAGCAATCCTGCACAGCATGCCCAGGCTTTGAACAATGCAAGCATACGCACAGTTTGAACCTTTTTTCCCATTCTTTTTGGCTGATGCGGAGGGCTTCCCAAGGCTTGGTAGAAGCGTCCTCCGGTTTCTTAGGGATCTTAACATTTTTTGGAACGTGTAAGACAATTCCCTTACCCGAACCACGGTTAGGCCCCTTATTTGAAGCAGTCTTTCTAAATGCATTAAGTTTTTCATCATCATTTCGGTCACACGCAATGGCTGATGTGGAACAGCCCGTATCGGAGTCCGGCTCTAGATCGTCATCTAGAGGCAGATCATCCGCATAGGACTGATCGTCAGCCTCCCGATGATCATGCCGTGCAAGCTGGTTGCTGCCTCCAAACCGCTTGCGTTGTGGTTTCCCACCTGCAACGGGCGCCTTCTTGCGCCTGGCGAGGTCCTTGGCCTCTAGGTCGACTAGGTCCTTTATAAGCTCTCGCCAGGTAGCATGGTCCTTGAGTGCTAGCAGGGAGAGGTATTCTTTAGGGGCCACTCCCATGACTGCATCCATGCAAGACACGTCAGTCATTCCTAGATCCGGAGTGGTGAATAGACCAGTCAGGTGTTGTTCCAAAGCTTGCATGAATGACCTCCATGTTTGGCCCTTGAGGGCCTCAAGCTTCAGTCTAGCCTTGAGCGCAGCATGTTTATCCTGATACCGGTCAAGGAGAAGATCCTCAAGGGTGCGAACTGGGATGACCTTCAGCCAATTAGTCAGGTCTATGCATGCATAGCCTGCAGCAACAGCTTGGAGCTCAATGTGGTTTCGTACGGCAGACTCGGTATTAGTTCCCATGATCATACTTCGGTCCTCTTGCGGTGTCCGCATGACCTCGAAGTATGACCGCATGGAACTAATCCAAGAGGTGATGTCAGCCTTCCCGTCGTACTTGGACGGCAGCGTGGCCGCCCTCTTGTCCACCATGGGACCGCTGTACTGAACGCCAGTAAGGACTGTGGCGTTTTGGGCTGAAGTCCTTGCATTTGGGACTGCGATCAGTGCAGAACTATCGGTGCTGTACGAGACTCAAAGTCTTCCAAGGTCCGCAGTCGGACCAAGGCTGCTACAGCAGCAGCTAGTTCCTCCTGGAACCGGTCAGCATTAGCTTCCGGGATCCGGAGGAGAGCCACCTGATCAGCAATGTCGACAGCTCTAGCTGCTGCCGCTGCCTCCCTTTCTCTCTGCACGGCATCATCATACAGTTTTTGAAAGAATGGTTTCTGGCTCTCGTCGGCTGTATCCAGCATGGCCTGCCATTGGGCAGATGTGATGTTCGCCATGCCGGAGGAAGGGGTGTCAGTAGAACTTTCAAGAGGGGTCCGCTCTCTCCTGACGTTTGGACGAACACTCCACTTGGCCCTTCTCACACTCTCAAACAACACACCTTCTCTCTCCCTTTCCTCTCTTTTCGTTGTCTGCGCACGCGTCTCGATATCGGACATAGATAATTCAGATAGAAGAAATAAACAGGAAACCACTCAAAGAAGAAGGTAGAACTCCTGGCCGGAGTGGCGAATCATTTGGACTGAGAACGTGGCACGCAGCAGAAGAATAAATAAAAATAAATAAAACAAAACAGCAGAGAGGTCTGATTTATAGAACGGGCCCGATCAGATCAGTTGGAGATCCCCTCTTGTCTAACCTGACAGGGGACATGTCAACACAATAAATCAGACGAAGAAGACTAATCTGCAGCAATGGAGATTTCGAGGGGTGCAGATGGTTGCCGAATCAGACACGAGGCGGTATGTGCTAACCTGCGGTAAGGCCAGTCAAGATCCCCTTGAAAGGAATGCCCTTGCTGTCCGTGTGTCCCCCCAGATGCAGCACAGCAAAGAATGCACTGACGACAATAGATTTGGGCCCAAAAGGTCCCGTCCCGTTGGGCCTGGTCCCACTGGGTCCCGAGTGGTCCCAAGTAGGCCGTGGACSAGGACCAACGTGATAGGGGTACCAAGTTGGTCCCAAACTGCCTCTACCGTGCTGAAAAGAAAACACAACTTTCAGCAAGAACTCACTTCTATAGCCGTTCAGAAAAGAAAAGACAATGCACCGTAGAAAGATATGTCATTTAGAGTAGATACATCATCCATCCATCCATCAGGTGAGAAAGCAATCCACAAGCTCACACACACAACCAAGACCGCAGAGAAGAGGAAGAGAACCCAACACACCCCCAACAGGCCATGAAGCACCAAGCAACCTCCCRCGGGCTTTCCCCAGTCACACGACACTTACCTGTGAGGCCCGGCCTCCAAAGATGGATAACGAGTCACTCCCCTCTCATATAAGTCCTCCTGACCCCTAGCTACCACTACACGAAGTGTCCTAGCATGACTAAGAGGGCCTTCCTACACCCTTATTGCAAAGCCGGATCCGCCGTCGATGCCTGAAGACCAAAGTAGCAACTTGCAGCAATCCGATGCAGATATGGCAGCCTCCGACTAAGTCTCCCTCTTGAGGGGAAGCCCAAAAGTCACTCAGTGTCTTCCTGAAGTCCAGAATCCAGGTGCGAGTACCTCTCACTCTCTTCTCCCTCTCGCTTACTCCAATCAGCCTCCTTTGTGTCTCGCCACCC